TTTATTTGTCCATTTATTTATTTATCTTAATTTGACCAGAGAGGGACAGAGTGAGAAAAAGAGAGAGAGAATGAGAAAGCAGGCCGCCAGGTCCAGGACTCAAACGGCGGTCAGCAATGTGGGAATCCAGCGCCCTCAACCACCACACAACCTGCTGGCCCAGATGTGTTTTAAGGTCTTTGTAACAAATAAGATTCCTTTAAGCCATTCTTTTTTTTTTTTTTAATAATTATTTTATTTAACTTTATTTATTTTATTTTATTTTTTTTGGGGGGGGGAGTTTTTGCTATAGGGTGCGTGGGCTCGCCAGACAGAGACAGACAGAAAGTGAGAAATCAGCCTCCAGGAGGAATGGCCGCACACGCATATGCGCCTGGCGTAAGTTTAAACCTCAGGTCTGGGACTCGAACTGTAGTCAACTACATGGGAGTCCAGTGACAGCAATTATGCCAACTGCTGGTCTCATAACTTTATTTATTAGTAATTTGACTAGAGAGGGACAGAGCTAAAGAGAGAGAGAGAGAGAGAAAGCAAGCCACCAGGTCTGAGACTTGAACTGTGGTAGACTGTGTGGGAGTCCAACATCCTTAACCACCATGCCACCTGACAGCCCCTCTTTAAGCCATTCTTTTATAACATTTTTCTATTTGGTTACAGGTGGATGGGTTGGAGCTGAGATAGGGAACACCATTGAAAGATTTGACCCTGATGAAAATAAATGGGAAGTAGTTGGCAACATGGCTGTGTCACGCTACTACTTTGGGTGCTGTGAAATGCAAGGTAATTGCTTTATAAAATATTTTTAAAAAGCATTCAAGTTTGAGGCTTTATTTTCACAAAAGTATATGTTAGGTCTATTAGTATTGAGTGATTGACACTAGCAGTATAACTTTTTTTTTTAATTATTTTATTTTATTTATTTATATATTTTAATTTGACCAGAGCAGGACAAAGTGAGAGAGGGAGAGAGAGGGAAAGTGAGAAAGCAAGCCACCAGGTCTGGGACTTGAACCACAGTTGGCCATGTGGGAGTCCAGCACCCTTAATCACCACACCCCCTACCGGTCTCAGAAGTTCTACTCTTTACTTCTTAAACCATTGACCTTTATTCTCTATTGCCAAAATAATAAAATTTATTCAACATAAACAGAGCTAGAATTGAAAATCTCGGATAGGCAGAAATACCTAGCTAGCCAAGTAAGCATTTGAAATGCCATCTGCTGTTGATGTTTTCTGTTCCATGAACACATCAGTATTTCTAAATAGGGAGAGAGTATCAAAAACAACTGTCACAGTCTCTACTTAGAAGTTTCTTCAGAGAATTTTTTTAGAATATTAAAAAAATCCTTTTTATTCGTGCTAGAGTATGTGTGCACATATGTGAGTGAGAGAGAGGCGCATCCTTCACAGGGTCTGGTCATGGCGTGATTCTCTTCCTCCAGTCCTCCAGCCCATCAGATCTTGGGCATCCAAGTGTATGCCCAGCATGTTTCCGTCTGACTAGGCTGGGAATTCAAGCCAGGGTTGCCATATCAGATCTGGTTTCTCTGCAGCAGTGCACTGCCACTGTGCCACAGAGTGGACTAGAATTTTTCTCTACAGTGCGTTACAATTCAGTCCACACAGCATATGACCTATGGTAGATTTGGAAAATGCTGGGCTGCCTAGCAAAGTGGTACACAAACATTATTTTAATTGTCTGCCACATTCTGAGGAATGAGTAGTAAACACTGTCCAGTAGAACCTGATTCTGTCCAGGTTGCAGAGTGGATCTGTATGCACCTGTGGAGTAGGCAGCAATCTGCCCCATTGTTCAAGGGCTCAGCCTGCTCTGTTTCCAGCTCAGGTTCCTTCTGCTTTGTGGGTACTGTCTCCAGTTTCCACTAGCATTTAAATTCAAATTACATGGTGCTGACTATATTTCATTATTTAATATTACAGTGTTTTCCAGTTGTTTTATATTATTTTTATCTTTCCAGCTAAAAGTCACAGAGCCACAGAGAAAGCTTGGGAATTATCTGTTTAAACCCTTTTAATTTATAGACATGGAAGCCGAAAATCAGGAAGGTTGTAAGTTATCTTTTCTCAACGTTGATTACTGGCAAAGCTGGAACTACAACTCGAGTTTACTAACATTAGCCCCATGTTTCTTAAAACATCATTCTTTTTTTTTTTTTTTTGAGAGGTTTTTGCTATAGGACGTGTGTGCTTGCCAGACAGAGAGAGACAGAAAGCGAGAAATCACCCCCCAGGGGGAATGGCCACGCCACAATCCCTTCTCCTCCATTCTCCTCTTGGGATCTTGGGCACGCACGCACTCGCGCCCGGCATGAGTTTTAAGCCACCGGGTCCGGGACTCAAACCACAGTCGACTACATGGGAGTCCAGCGACATAGCCATTACGCTAACTGCTGGTCCCAAAACAAAATTATTTTATGTCCGAGAGTATGTACATGCAAGAGGGAGATAGAAAGAGAAATCACCCTCAAATGGGATTTGGTCACACTGCAATCCCTTTTTCTTCCAATTTCTCACCCCATCAGCTCCTGGACATATATGTGTGTGCCTAGATTGTGCTTTAAGCTTCCAGAATTGAACTCTGGTTGGCCATGTGAGATCTGGCTTCCTCTGTGCAGCACTTAACTGCCATACTAGATAGAAG